GTATATATATATATATATAAAAAGGATAAGGTGACAGAGGGCACCGCAGGCCTCGTCTGCCGTGGGCAGATGCCATTCCCATGGGCCACTGAAGATGTCCCTCCCTCGGCCGGTGACTGGATGGTGACATCCGTCCTGTTGCGACGTGCATGAACGATGCTCATTTTTGGGGGGAAGCCACTCTGTGCCCTTCTCTGGGAGCGCTGGCAGTGCTGCAGGCCTTGGCTGAGCGTCCTGCACTGCTGGGAACTGTGGACATGAACTGGTGGGGACTCCAGGGAGAGGAGGAGGAGGAGGAGAAGGAGAACAGGGAGGGCTGGTGGAGAAAAGGGCAACCTGGCCCTAGGGGAACCAGCACGTCCCTGTGTTGTGCAGGCTGCGGCAGGAGGGGAAGAAAAGCCACCGGTGCTGCTGGGGATGAAGAAGACATGTTGTGTCTATGATGCTGAAATGCCAGAGCATGGCCAGAGAGTGTCAACTAAAGCTTCTTTGATTTCCTTCGCTAGAGCAGTCACCGTGTCGTACACCTCTACAGCTCTGTTCATGTAATTTCCTAGGTAAAATTGTGCTCATCGGTCTAGTCCAGGAGCGCGAAGCATCGCCGGGTCATCCCTTGTTAAGTGTTCTGCTCTAAAATGTCCTTTGCCGCCTTACAGCTGAGGGACATGTGCCCTTGGCTCAGGGAAGGGCTTGAATGAGTCTTCCGCAAAGCAATGTCATCCGCTTCCACCTTGAAGAAACTGGTTTCGATCCTCTCCAGGTCGTCCGTGCCGACTTTGATCTTCATGCACAGCAGGTTGATGTACGTCTCATAGCGGCTTTTTTTTTTTTGAAGAGAGTGGAAAGCCTGAGAGCAGAGACAAGCCATGGCACGCGTGGAAAGCAGCGGCAGGAGAACACAGCCTGTACCACCAGGATCCCACTAATCCCAGCCAGTGAGTCCTGTTTAACCACAGTCTGGCTATGCAGACTGACCAACCCATCGCTGAAAGGATGAGGAGAAAGGCAGGGGTCCTGCAGGACTCTAAGTGCTCTTAGGGGTCTTGATGGGGATTCTCATTGTGTAAGGTGGGTGCTGGAGGCAGAACCAAACCAACAAATCCTTCCTAATCCAGGAATTCCCCTCCGCTGACTCAAACGCTTCTGTTTGCCGTGGTTTCCACCCAGTGATTCACTTGTTGCTGCTACGCTGTGCCCCCACAGAGCACGGCATCTCCTCCCTGTCTGGCACCTTTATTCTAGGCTAAATTGAACCTGGTTTTACGGACTCGTGTGTTACCCCAGTCCTTTTCCCTAACATCTCAGTGCCTATGCTCACTCAGCATCACAGGTTCATTTTGGTTGGAAAAGACCTTTCAGGTCATTGAGTCCAACCACTTTGTCAGCACAGAGAAACGAGCATCTCTGGAGCACATCTCATAACACAGATGAAATTAATTATGCTCTGAAAGGGCCAGTTTCTCCTTGCAGACTGAAAAGGCAGCCTAAAAAAACCTCAAAATACTCAGATGGAGACTTCTCAGCAGACACCAAAACGAGATGTCTGGAAAACAGGAGACAGCAGCAAGCAACCATGGTTGGTACAAAGGGACCAGTGGCCAGAAAATGTGGTTTTTGGAAAGCCAGGCTGCAGAAAAGGCTGGGGCAGCCCTGGTGTGCAGGAGATGGGGCATTTCCGTCCGTGGAGATTTCTGAGATTTGGCCATAAAATGACACACTTAGACTGGGAATGACCATACTGGGAATCATTGAGGGTCCCATGGGAAGCAGGACCAGAGGCCTGAGCCGTTCTTTCCCATGGACATCTCTGTGACAGCAGTCACAGCTTCTGTGAGCAAAATACCCCATTTCTCCCACAGTTAAATGCTTCTTAGGCTCTGCAGAGAGCTTAAACTTAGCTACGTGCATCCTCAAACTGTAATCAGCTGTAACGCTGCTTTTGGCTTTATTTACAGAAACAATCACAGCAAAACACGATTAAATCTCCCAGGGATTCCCTTAGCTTTTTATTAAAGTTGCTGGAAAAGGCTGATGCACACCAAGAATGGAAACACTTTCTTACTTGGGACCTGAGGAAATGCCAAGTTTCGGCACAGTAAAGGAAGATTTAATTTCTCTCATCAGTTTTCCCCTCCTCTGGTTGGAAATCACAGAGGGGAGGAAATGTCTGTTATTCCTTTTTTTAGGAAAAAGAGTGAGGCTTGCTGCTGCCCCAAAACACGCAACCAGATTGGGAGCCCTTGCTCTTCTCTCTCTCTTCACGCTCACCCAGGCTCATAGCATCCACTTCAGAGCTCCTCATCCTCCCCAACCAGCCGAGGCACCATTTATCACGGAAAAGATGAAAGTTCCTTTACCTCAAATATTAGGTAGTGCTCTTTAAGCCTGTATTCCTCAGCCTCCTTTGACTTGAGGCTCTTCTCCACAGGATGCAATTTATGCTCTGCTAATTCGTCTGCAATCTGCTTCATTTTATTTTCATGAGACCTCAGCTGTTCCTCCTGCCGAGAGAAGGGATCGGGAATTAAAAAGCGGGAGCGTGATGCCCAAGTGCACCGCCTGCCTGTGGATGCAGGAGCTGTCGCTGCGAGGATGTGAATTTGCAAATTCATCTGATAAGGAGCAGCTGGAACACGGGTGTTTTGGGTGAGATCAAAACCCATGGACCACGAGTGCCAGGAGAGGATTTCTCTGGCACCTGGGCTTCTTTAGCATCGCAAACGCAAAATGCTCTGTGTCCTTGAACAGCCAGGCAGAGGCAGCAATGTACCAAGAGCTGCTCATCCTGTTCTTCTTTTGAGGTATAAATGGCTCTGAGAAAGGCCACATCTGGCCACATCTGGCTCAGCAGACAGGAGCTGTATCTCTGCCCTGACATTTCAGGCTGTCCTCCCTTTCTCTGAGGGCCAGTGGCAGCGTGTCCCTACTTTTCAGAGGTGCTGAGGAATATTGGTCAACTGAGCCTTGGGCAGCCCTGGTCTGGTTCACCGTGCTCCTTCCTTCCAGAAAACTTTCTCCACTGAGAGGGGCTTAGACTCGCCCTTCATTTATAGGTTTTTAGCTTGGGAAACAGCAATGTGCACTTTGGAGTGCCACTTTATAAAATAAACTAGGGCCGTGGCCAGCTGCTGGGCTTAGTGTCACCCCGCTGCCCCAACCAGAAAGATGCTGGGAAGTGATGGTCAAAGAGCAATGAACAAGCCAAGATCCGCAGCCACACAGGCATGGGTGTGTGTAAAGGGTTGCTTTATAGCCATGGTAAAGGGATCACTGGTCAGACACTGGGCTTTGCCATGGTCTGCCCACTCCACGGCCCTGTTCCTGCCCTGAGCACCCTAATGTGCCCATCAGGCAGGAGCAGAGGCAGTTGAGCACCCCTCCATGGCTCCATCTCTCGCACATTACCTGGCACAGCTTGGTCATGGACGAAGGCAGCAGCGGGCGGCAGAACTTCTTCATGGAGCAGATGGCAGCTGGGAAGGCTGGGGCAGAGAAGATGGCAGCGACAAGGTTGATCCTCAGGATCCAGGAGAGCATCTCTTCCTTACTTCTGTATGGAGGAGGGAGAAGAGAGGGGTGTCTGTAAGAGGAGGTGTCTGTCTGTAAGAGGGGGTGTCTGTAAATGCTCCTGACCCAGGCCCAGCCAGCTCAGAACAGCCCTGGAGCCACCCGAGGGCCATGGGTGGCTTTGCTTTGAAGCCATTCCTGTGCCACCCTGGGTGGTGAATGGAGGAAAACACTGGCTAATTGGCTCCTCTACAGCACCCTGATGATTTCTAGGGTTGTTGTCTGCCTCTTGAAGCCCTGGCAGTCCTGCCTTCCTCATCAACTCTGATGGCATTCTCTGAGGAGCTGGGGAGAGGTAGCATGGTGGCAAGGGCCTCCTGGTTTTGAGAGCCACAGAGCAGGGTGAACCTCTCATTTGTGTCATTCAAAAGATATTGCCCAGGGTCGCTCATCAGACCTGTTCAGGCACGGCTCCCCCCAGTCTACAAGTGGGTTTGCACTGCACAAATTCAACAAATTCAATCAAGCTAACTACTATTAGTATCCCACCCCAATTTACAGATGATGTCACCTATCTCAGCAGGAGACAAGAAAGCCATCAGATAAAAGATGACACAATCCCACTTGAGACACTTTAGCAGAGCAACTTTCCTCTGCAGTGGTCTGAGAAAGAAAGAAGATACGGCCTGGCTGGGGAGACTTCTTTAATGAGCTTTAGGCAAAAAGCTGACAAGGGGAACCATCAGGTCCTCAGTTCAATGCACCACATAGATTTATGGACTGACAGTAGAAATTAATAAGGGGAGCTGTTTACATGCCAGCCCACCCTGGTGAGGGATGAGAAAGGACATCCAGGACTGACACGCAGCTACCAGGTAGAAACTGCACCCCATGGCCAAGTCCTTGGCACAGCCCTACAGCCCTGGCACCTTCCTCCCCTCCAGATTCGTGTGTTGATGTGGTCAGGTTGCAGGGGTGGCTGGAGGTCAGAGACCCCGTCCCGGCTCTGCAGGTACTCACGGGGCCTGGAAGAGGAAGACTCTCCAGTCGGCCGTCTTCAGCTTCAGCACGTTGGACTTCTTGCTGTAGTCAGAGGCTTTCGTGGCTAAGGCGTGGTGCACTCGGATGGCGTTCTTCAGATCCACTTCAGAGAGGTCCTTGTCAGGTTTATATTCGTCCTGTGAAGAGGAGCGTTAATTGGATAATGACTACACTACCATTTGCGGGCTACTTTAATGAACCTGCCTTTCTCCCCACGCTATAATCACAGAGTGCCGAGACCAGGAAAAACACCGCTTTGTACAGTAAATGCTAGGAGTTGATAATGATAATAATTAACATCTGGCAGCTTCTTCCATCATTAAGTTCACTGGGAAGATGCGAAGAAGGAGATGAAAGTTTTAAACTTAATTGTCGATAGTTATCTCTAACAGAGCACACGCCTGAAGCTCTGGGGGAAGGTACAGGTTTCTGCAGAGCTTCACCCTGCATTTCCATGCAGGTTTGGGGCTGTCTGGGTAGTTATCAGACTGACATGGCCCACTTGAACTACGTCCGTGTGTCCCTTTGGCATGGTCTCTCATGTAATTAATTAAATGCCACAAATTGCAGCAGCGTTCCCTATATTTCTGCTTTAATTTCTCCACTGAAGGGCCATTTCACACAGGTAGGGAATGTAGCAATAACTGTACATGTGCATATTTTATAAACAGAAAATACCAAACGTGGGATTCTGAAAGGATGACCTTGGCACAGCACTTCTTAGGGAAAATCCCAAGCAGTTCAATCAATCCTGTGTTTACCCTTTGGTTTCTCAATGGCTGAGCTCCCGGCTGCCTACAGCGACTCCCTCCTCCCCGCTCTGCACCTTCTGGTCCAGCTGGGTGGTGGGATGGAGGGAAGGACAGAGGGATGGACAGAGGGGTGGGATGAACACACGGATGCATGGATGGGTGCCTGTAAGAAACTGGGCCCTGGCTAAAACAAACCACCACCTCAGATCAAGTTAGAGGCCATGTCAGGACAGGAAGGCCGTGTCCTGGGAAGGGCCTGCCTTGCCCTGCATTACAAGGCAAACCTACAGGGCTGATGGGCTCTTAGCCTTTTAAGAAAGAAAAACAAATGCTTTGCCTCATGAGGACCTAACACATTACCCCACTTGGAGAGAAATGGTTGCGTGAGGAAGACACTGCTGCTCAGACCTCACATATTGTAGAGAGACTTTCCATTCTGAATGTTTTTCTAAGGTTGAAGCTCTTTGAATCTGAATAAATCTGACTGTGATACCCATGATCTCTTATTATAAGATAATCTTTCTGAAAACACAGGGCAAATAGCTAGGCTTAATGGCATGAGACAAGGAGAAACTGCCTTGGCTGCAAACTGGTTTGACTAATACAGATCTTCACCCACCTTGTGTTGCTTCTGCTGATTTCAGGCTCACAGACATCAACATAGGTGTAAGAAAGAACCCAAATCTTCTTCTTTTCCTAACTCTGGGCCCAGTACGGTTGAATCAAGCAGGTTCTCTCTCCTTTCTGCTTCCCCTGCTCTTAAGCAGCACCATCCCCAAGGCTGTGTGATGCCACACACAGGGCTGGGGATGTTACACTGCCCAGCACTTACACCATGGTGCAGGCTACACCACGGAGCTCTATTCAGGAGGATAATCCCATTGCCTGCCAGGGAAACGCATCAGCTCTGCTCTAAAACCTGCAGCAGCTTCTCTACATTTTGCCTCAATCCCTTTCTGAGCTTTGATGTGAGTTTAAGCGTGAGCATGAACCACTGCTGAGGAAGAGACGTGTCCAAAAACATAATGCTTTCAGTGAAGGGATTCTGGTTTAAATCTCAAAGAGACTGATTTATACTAAAATGTAAACGGCGTCGTATTTGGAGGAACTTCAGGCAATGTTTTCTCCACGTTATAGTACTGCTCACCTTTTTCATGGTGTTATCCAGCCATACATTTCCTGGCCAAAGGGTTAATTTGACATCACAGGGCTGCTGAATTTTTATCCTGTGTGTCCTGCAGTGTTCACACAGGTACTTGTCATTGGGAAACGGGCAAAGCGTGCTGTGCCACACCATTTCAGTTAACCTCAGCCCCCAGCCCTTGAACAGTGGCAGGATTCTTCTCCCCTGGCTTCTCCAGGTGTAGCATAGTGGGGGTCAGCAATTTTCAGGGGCTGTTTTGGCAATAGTTTTTGCAGGAACTGAGCCAAGGTGTGGATGCTTTGTTTCCAAATCCCTCTAAATTCATTTCATTCCCTTTCAGCTTTTAATGTTGATGCTGCCAACAGTTCATGTCCCTCTCCTGCCTGCATAAAGGGTTTCCTTAAACATACACAACCACCTCCCTGCTTGGGCTTATTTTCTGCCATGGTGGTGCTCCGTGGTGTCTTTGGTTCACTCTTCTGACCCCAGCTCTCCCCTATTGCCCATCCCTGTGAGCGTGGTGGGAGACCCAGAACTCATATGAGCGCCTCAGTTTTGTTGGGAAAAGGCATTTGTCTCTTATGCCCACCTTTGTAGTGCACCTGGATGGGGTGAGAGAGCCCAGGGTACTGGTCCTGCTGCCCTGATGCGAATATGGACATGGAGCTACAGAGACTTCTCAAGCTCCAGCTTGGGAGGGGGTTTTTCTCTTTTTCCTTTTCTTCAGCTCACATCCACCTGCCTAAATAAACCATTTAGTGAGGAAAACGAATCACTGCCTCCTTTACAGCCTGGTCATAAACTTGGCTCTTCAAGCAGCACTACCATGGCATGGGACAGCATCCATGGCCTGGGGCAGTGCTGCAAACCCCTCCATGGTTGGGGACTGCAAGACCTGCATCCCTTCCAGTGCTTCCATATATGAGCACCTCATGCTTTACAGCTCTCCATCATTCCTCTCAACACCCCTCCATGTGTGCTGATTAAGGGTTATTAGCCCCATTTCACAGAGGTGAAGTAAGTTGCCAAAGGCCATGGAGTGAGTCAGTGCCCGGTGTGGATTAGAGTGCAGGAGAGCTGCTCCCAAGCCTGCATTTCTTCCTCAAGACTGTGCTGCATCCCTTTAGGGGATCAAGCAATTTCTTCAGCAGACTATGCTAGGACACACTAATCCAGTAATTAACACCAGCAAGTCAATGGCATGTGACATCTCTACACCAGCAGGTCTATGCTGCTCCTAACAGACATCCTTCTACCTGTTCATCCATCCATCCATCCATCCTCTCTTCTGCCCATCTCATGTCCACCTCTCTCTGTATCTGGCCATTCCTCCCTTCTATACATCTATCTATATCTCCCCAGGGCCTCCTTCCCCACTCCTTCCCTCTCTCTTGCACTTATTTCTGCTCAGTTTGCTCCCCCTTCCCCACTCCTTCCCTCTCTCTTGCACTTACTTCTGCTCAGTTTGCTGCCTCAAACCAAATGGAGTACACTTTACTATTAAACTTCTGGGAATTTCCCATTAAATCCTTGGTTTGGTCTAAGCAAAAAAGTGGAACAGGCTGAACCTGCGCTCCACGGCATCGTTTTGGTGGAGCAGGTACTTTCTCACCTCCCTTCACATCAGAAAATCTTTTCCCAGTGATTTGTGACCAAGCCAGGCTCTATGTTATGTTTATCTGCAGGCTGAGTTCTTGGGAGGCTGGCACACCACTTCCTTCCTGTATTGTACAACTCCTGTCCTGCAAAGCACCCCACAGCCAAGAAATTGCACTGAGAATAGTGCAGGTGGATGTTTATCCACTCTCTGCTGTGGTGCTGGAAATGCTTGGAAGTGACAGGGCAAGGACTTTGTCTTTGTAGTCTCATCTTTCTGTCCTGTCTCTGCAAGCCTGACAGGCACTGTCTACAGCCAAGCCCAGCCCAAGGAATCTCCAAAGAGGACCATATACAGTCTGGCAGCAGCTCATGACTAAAACACCCCTCTTTGCCCAAATATTCTTCAGGTTAATTCTTGTTGTTGTTCCAAACGCTACTTCCTTGGGGCACCCTTGGCACTTCTGATCCCTCCTGCTAATTACACATCAGTCACGGCTGGTGTTAATCAGACACCTTCATAACCCAGCCAATTCTTAGGTGCTGTGCTTCTTCAGTCCTTGTCTGTAAGGAAAGTCCTCAGTCTCTTAAACATTTGCTCCTGAAAGTCATTTAGATAAGAACATTGGTCTTCTAACTTCCACATCAATCTCATTCTCGCTCTGTTTTTAAATCCTAAACACCTGGTAGTAACACAAAGAACTGTGTTACCATAACAGGCTGGATGGTTACTGCTGCTGGCCTTACCAATCCCTCTGCCTTAGCAGCAGCAATGACAGTGTTGGCTTCATGGCTCCTTCTAGTGGTGTCCAAGCAGCCAGGAAAACCTTCAGTAAGCTGGATTTTGGTCCAGCATGGGAAGAAAATTCAGTCCTGAAAGTGTATTTCATTCCAAACACATATAGCCTCAACAGATTCATCCCAAGAGACATGCCCTAAAAATCCTAGGTGAAAAATTCATTTAGATCCAAATGCTTCCTGTGCTTTTGATGAAATTGCATTTTTTTCACTACAGAAAAAGTGTCATAAAATGAAATGTTGATGGTAGCTCTGTGCAGGTTAAATCCTCATGCACCACCCATGGTCAGCACGAGGACCTCCTCAACGGAGACTTGTAATGAGACAAAGACTGCGATGTAAGAGGAGCACCATTGACTTGATGATCACCACACTGGAGGGAATCTGGTCTCTCCTGTATGTTGCAGCTTCCCTCAGCTGCAGGAGAGTGTGGCAAGGCTGTAAAGACATCACTTGGCTGAAAGCAACCCGAACTGCAAATTACCATCGGCTGCTGCCAGATTTCTGCTGGCGCTGTGACATGTGCCATAGGATCTGGCTAAACACGGGAATTATTGGGGTGTGCTGCGAGCTCTGAGTCATAATTCCACGCTGCCCTGAGGATCTTTCTGCCTTTCTTATATAATCCCATGTTTGTTTACTCTCATTGCTTTGGAGATAACACTGCGATGCACAGGAGCATCTACTCACAGGGATACCCTCTCTGGCAAAGGGAGTTCAACGGGTTACAGCAGAGTATGTGCTGCTGCGGTAGTTCAGACCTAGTTCAGTGGGTTATGCTGTTGCATGGTGAACAGACGTTTGGCATCCCTGGTTGGCTTATGTTCAAGTGAGCCCCTATCCAGGCTCTTCGGATATTCCCACAGAAGACTATCCAAGTAAATCTTCCTAGCATCTAAGTGTCTTGAAAGGTAGAGCTGAATTCTGTCGTATGCAGAAGCTCTGCCATGGTGACTTTGCCCCCCATGAGGAGCTGGGGTTTATACCTGTGTTGATGAGAAGTGGCTACAGAACTGGGGACACAGAGAAAATTCTGCAGAACACAAACGGAGAGAGGCAGAAAGTGCTGCCTGGCAACCCAGGGAAGGACCCAGATCAGCAAGGTCCTGATGGAGATGAAAAACTTTAAGCATGGTCCATACCAGACTCAGTGAAGCCGCCCACAATCAAATCCATGCCAGCAAATAAAACAATAGACAGGATAAGACTGGTCTGGTGCTCTGCCCCTTCAGGTTTCTGTTGCGTGTCTCACCAACATCCTGTTCCACCTATTCAATATCATCTGTTCATTCATCCTCCCCAGCAGCTCCTGCTGGGACACTTCAGCAGAAACCTTGCCTCAGTGTTCCCTCTTTCACACTTGCTCCTGTCTGGCCCTTTATGGGGGCTGTGGGTAATGTCCTTCACACTGCAGATGAGGGCATATTCCAGTTCTGCACATTGGTCTCTGGAGGAGCTCCGTAGATGGGCATGCATGCATTAGGGCATGGATTCATCTCTACTTGCATCTATGGGTTTCCTGCTTAGGACAGCATGACAGCATGAAACAGCACATGGGGTACTCCACCATGGTTACCTTTTGTAAATAAAGGACGGTCCCTTTAAGCACAGCATAAAATTTCTTCCAACCTCTTCTTCCTCTGGGAGCTAAAAAAAGGAAGAACATTTAATTATACATCTCTACTTCTGCTAGTGCTGCTCACCTTCACATTTCTGGCAAAACCAACCCTTGTCCTGACCCACCACAGGCATGCACTGATGCCTCATACACCCCTAAGCTACTGCTCATGAGTAGCTTGTCTGCAGGGACCCCTGTTTGGCAGACACAGGCTGGGAGATGCAGCCTTCCAGCAGCAACATAAGCAGGTCAAGAAGAGATGAGCTGGTATAGGAGTACCAATGGACACATGCAGGAAGTGTCTGCTCCTCCAAACCCAGGTTCCTGTTCCTTGAACTGAATGCTTGAGGAGCAGAGACGTTTCGTGAGCTCCTCTGCTTCAGATGAGTTAGGCAGACATACACCGAGTAAGGCAGCTTCTGCTCCGCTGAGGAGGGAGCATTGCCACCAGAGGTCTTGATGGGCCTGGGGACAGAGCTTGCTGGAAGCTGGAGGAGGGCAGGAGCCATCTACACCACCACAAGACAGCTGGTGCTCCAGACATGGGCTATTAGGAACGTGCCAGGAGCAAGGGAGGCCTTTGGTGGTAATCTCTACTCAAGACTTTTAATCAGCCGCAGTGACTGGGCCAGTCACAGCAATTAGCAAAAGGGGTTATCCAAGGTTTCATTAATCTCTGCTTATTAGCAGTTCCCAGATATATTCCTCTTTCTCTTTCCTGTAATCCCACACGCTGACAGCAGGGCTATGAGGCTGCCTGTTGCCCAGCCAGCACACGGCAGAAAATGGACAGGAATAAAACTCTGAAGACCAGACCATCTCCGAGGCCAAGGCTGGGGTGGACAACTGCTGTGAAACCAGCCTCAGCTCAGAGAGTGGGATTCAAGGTAATACTCATGGACAGGACGGAGGACCACCTCTGTCTGTGTGGTACAGGCACTCCTTGGGAGTGAGAAGGGTAGACTGAGGCCTCCTGAAAACATCCACATCTATGAACGCCTCCAAACACCCTCCTTCCCCTCTGCCCTGGCACTTATGGGTCTGGGGTTCACTCATCCCTGGGATGCGGTGAGGAAGTGCCCTCAGCAGGAGAGCCAATGAGAAGGGCTCTGGTGCTGCCTGGGTGCATCTCCTCCTGTCCCGTTAACACGTACTTCTCTTCCCATCCATGTCTGCATGAGTTTTGCGCGTGAGGACGCCGTGCTTGTACGTGACTGCGTTCAGCGCCTGGGGGATGTCCAGGAAGGGGTTGCTGCTGTCAACAATCCTCGTCACTTTCTTCGCGCTGGCTCCGAATTTGTCATCTACCAGCTCCGAGAGGGATTTCCTCAGCTCGTCCTCATCGCTTGGAAACAAAGGCAGAGAAGAGATTGAGTGGAGGACATGTGGATTGGGTCACACTGTGCCCTATCTGCTTTGCTTTTTAAAAAAGAGCTATTTATTACAAGACTAGCCATAGAAAGAAAAGTAAAGGAGACTGTAACACTTAGAGTGTGCCAATGGTGGTGATCTGGTAGAAGGGTGGGTGACAGGTCACTGTCCCAGTGGTCCCACTGTGGGGTTACAGGTAAGGGAATGGGTGCTCATCTGAACACGAGGAAACTGCAGACACAGCATTGCCCTATGAGGATTATGAGCATTTCACAGAGAGAGCCTCCAGTTCTGTGCCCTAATATCAGACCTTAAGGAGTTCTTTTGTCACCTATCGCTGAGGTTTCTCACCCTCTGAGAGGCAGCCCCTGGGGCTTCCTAGATACTGAAGGAGCTTGAGGAAGGTCCTCTGCAACAGTGAGGAGTTACAGGTAAGGGAATGGGTGCTCATCTGAACACGAGGAAACTGCAGACACAGCATTGCCCTATGAGGATTATGAGCATTTCACAGAGAGAGCCTCCAGTTCTGTGCCCTAATATCAGACCTTAAGGAGGTCTTTTGTCACCTATCGCTGAGGTTTCTCAGTCTCTGAGAGGCAGTCTAGATACTGACTGATTCTGTGATTCTGTGTGATTCTGTGAAGGAGCTTGAGGAAGGTCCTCTGCATCAGTGAGGAACAAATGCTCTGCAGACATTAGGGAGATCTCATGAAAAAAGCACAAACTCTGGAATAGGTTACATGCAAGAAATGCTGGTCACTTCCATAAAAACTGCTTTTCCTTACAGGTGTCCTGGTCCTGGACAGCGAGGGCTGAGCAGCTTAGGGGAATGTCATCAAGGCTGCCTCTTCCTATGTGGAGTAAAACCTGCTCTGGCACAGAGGAGCTAGACCTTGTCTGGGAACTGCCATTCCCACAGTGTCCTTGGGACATCAATGAGGGAGACCAAACAGGGAATTTCTGCCCACGGCGATACACGTCCATGTCTAAATGGTATGAGGGGGCACCCTAGGTTGCAGATTAGGTTGGGACCACACCTGAGGAGTGACCCAGGGATTAATCCAGTAGCTGGGATATAAGCAATAAAATACTGCACTTCCCTATCTACAGCACGGCAATGGCCCGAGCATCAGACACCTCTGGGAAGAGAAGGATGATTTCCCAGCACCCGCAGCAGTCCTAGGCCTTGGACCACTCTGAGCTCCTGCAGATGCTGGCCACGTACCTGCCTGTCCAGCTGAGCTTTGGGAGCAAGGGCATTCCTAGGAGGGACAAGGACAGGAGGCAGAGGAGGGCAGGGAGAAGAGGATCTCGCCTGTGCAAGGTTATGACTCAGCACCACATTTCTGGAAGGAAACCAGGTACCCCCTTGCCAGGGAGCATCTGTCCCACAGCAGAGGAGCAGAGAGGTCTCTGGTGTTGCAGCCCATGCGTCTGCAGCCAAGCAGCTCCCAGGGCAGCGTGGGGTGGATGTCGGGGTGCAGGGACACAAGAGGGGTGGTGGAGGAGGGCAGAAGGGGGGGCTGGATGCTGCACAGCTGCAGCAGGACCCCGGAGGGGGATCGACATCCCTCAGACGTGCCCGATCCAGGGAGCGTGTGCTGGCGGGCGTTGTGTAACCACTGCCCGCATCCAGCGAGCGGATGCACTTCTGCTGAACTCCTCTTACATAAACCATCCCACCGGTGTCTCCTGCGGAGCCGCAGAGCTCCCTCTCGCGATTACATCCACCCGCGACCCGGCCTCCCTGCAGAGCTGGCGGGGCTGCTTTCCTCTCACACGGATGCCACGAAAGACTGTTTTTAAAGAGAAATCAATGCTGCATAACCTCCTAAGAAACCACTGCACTTCCAGGGCCACTGACTGGCTGTGTGCCTCCCAAAGGGGACACTGGGAGCAGCGAGCACCGCTGCTATCAGGGCACAGTTGGCTCTAGGGAGGGAGGCAGTGCCGAATCATCTCCAGATGCTTTTCTAACCGGGATAATACAAGGAGAACAGCAGGCGATGGAGCTACTGGCCCAGAAGGTCCTGCTCAAGCCACTGCTCCCAGACTTGTTTCAGGGTAACAAATGATGGAGGAGGAAACAGAGTGCATCCCGTTGAGTTTGTGGATGACATAAAAATGGGAGGTGCAGCTGAGATCTGGGCAGGCACAGCCACTGCTCAGAGGGACAGGAGCTTCACTAAATGCAGCATCCCAGTCCTGCAGTGGTGTGGGGTGATCCTGCAGAAGGGTCAGTCGGGGCTGAGTGCCTGGGGAGCAGCTCTGCAGAAAAGGCCCTGGGGCTCCTGGTGAACAGCAAGGATGAACAGGAGCCAGCCAGGGTGTCCTGGCAGGAGCAGAGGCCAAGAGCATCCTGGGCTGTGTTACAGCAGCACAGTGAAGAGGACATGAGAAGTGATCATCCTCTGTGCTCATATCTTGATACAGCAACCAGTATTGGGCCCCCGGTACAGGAAAGGGCATCAACAAGGTGGAGAGAGTTCAGCAGAGGCCACCAAGATGACAAGAGACAGCGGGCACAGGTCAAAACAACAGAGGTTTCAAATGGGCAAGAAAAAAATATCACTCTCAGAATAATTAAGCATCGGCTCATGGATCCAGAGGGGCAGTGTGCTCTCTGTCCTTGGAGATTTTCAAACTGAACAAAGCCTGAGCATCGTGGTCTGAATTCAGCGTTGACCATGCTTTGAGGAGGAAGCTGGACTGGGGACCTCGCAAGGTCCCTTCCAGCTTGAGCAATTCTCTGATACTGGAAATAGTCCAGAGGGAAATATGTGGAAGAGATAGGAAGTCTCAGTGACCAAAATAACCCCAGACCTTGAGCTCTTTGTGCAAAGACCTTTGAAGCACACAGAGAGGGACCAGCATTTTATAGGTATAAAAGTAAATAAAGAGGGCATTCCCTTGCTTCAGATCATGCCTGTGGACCCTGTGTCCACCAATCTCCCCAGCTGCTTTTATGTCTAAGCCATAAATAAACCCAGCTTGCCTACAGGAAGGACCTCAGCACTTAGCTTGGCAGGAAATGTGCTGGGAGCTTCTAGGGCTAAAAGCACAACTCAAGACCTGTCGGCTACTTTGAATGACACACTCTCTCTCAAATGCTTAACGTATACTTACATGGCCCATTCCAGCTTCTCATTCTTGATGGAGTTATATAGTGTCTGAAACAAGAACATGGCATTAGCTGTGTCTCTTGTGGAAGAGATGTCTGGATGGTAGAGACCATCTCCTCCACACCCTTTCTGTGATCTTGGAGAGACACCTTCCTTGCTGAGCTGTACTGGGGAAGGGTTCACCAGGGAGCAGGACAACCCTTGTCCTGCTAGACCTGTTTCTGTCTATGTGCCACACTAGGTATTGGACTGACGTGTCAGCAGCAGAGGGATCTGGCAGCCAGGAGCCTGTATATAACATTTTGGACTAATTCTGGGCGCTGGGTAAATCCTGGTCTACACAAAGACGGTAGAAGACTCTGGGGTCTGCCAAGACACCTCCAACTTCCCAACTAGGGGAAAGGGACAATGGAGGCTCGAATGCTGCCCTCAGGAGCAGGGGAGCAATGAATGACCTTGGGGATCGGGTTTTCCAGTCTCTCCTGTGCAAAATCCCAGTGGCTTTCCTGGGGAACTGGGAAAAGAAGCAGGAACGGGCTAGGAAAGCAGTGTGTGGAGGTGGCCCTGGCTGCACTGAGGGGTGGGGGTGCGTTGTCTAAAGCTCCATGTGGTGCCTCTGAAGTGGTGCTGGTCCTCATTCCCTACAGCAAAACCCAGATCAGGTTGCTGGACCTGTGATACGTGCAGACAAAAGTGGTGGCATTAAACCCCATGGAAGGAGAAATATTCCCTTAGGGGTGTTTAACAAATATCCCATGGTAATGTACCGTACTGGAGCACTACATCTAGCTATGTGGAAGTGAAGGTAGAGGAAAGTATCAGATAGTCATATTTTTGGGGGGAGATGCCTTGTTCTGTGCATTGTCAGGTGCATCACAGAGCTGCCATGGGGGAGAGGGACCCCTGTATCCTCTGAGTGCAGATATGTCATAAATCTGGATAAAGCAGCACCTCTGGTGGCTCACTGCAGGTTAGCAGAAGCTATCCATGTGGGCTACAGTTCTTACAAGGAAACACTTGTGCACTGGAAAGCGCTGATTCAAGGGCTCAGAGTGTCCCAGCAGGGCTCAGTGGCGCTACAGTAATGACCGTGTCCCACTGTCTATTTAAATCACGTTACCTTCAGCAGATCCTTTGCAAAGTCCTTCCCATCATTCAGCCCGTCCAGGTTTGCTATGAACTGTTGGCACGACATCTTTTTGCCAATATTCTGTAAGGCAAAGAAGCAGCTCATTAAACTACCGGAAGATTTATACTTTAATCAGGCTGTCTTTTAAAGAACAATTTTATATGTATTGGTGAAGCCTGGGTTTGTCCCAAGAGCTCAAAGCTGGAAACAGGTCCTCTGCTCTGATTTCCTATTGGTTTCTTTATTTGCTCATGGCAGCAACCAGATGTTTTAAATGACCTCTTTTTTTGATGGTGGAAATAAAACACCTGAAAATAACCTCTCTAGCTCTTACTCCATGCTTTTTAAGTGATTTCACTTCTGATCTCTATGTTAATCCTGGTACAAGGTCTGTGTACTCAAGCCAAGTGCTCAGACTGCCTCGAAATTACAGCATTTGGATCTCCAAGCTGTGTGTGAAATGGTGTGAGCAGGCAGTGTCAGCACCTGGAGACAGCCAGTGCTGGGCAATGACTTGTCCTTCATAGAAACTCATATGTTTGGTTGCCATTAGAAGAGAGATGATCCAGCTATCAGTACAGCATGAACTCGAGTGCTGCAAGGGCAATACACAGACACCAGAAGGACCTCACATCTTGGGACACGCTCATCACCAACCCACGCCAGAACTATTTGGTGCTGATGCTGCCAGGTCATCTGTCTTCCCCAAACCGTTACCCCTCATCACCACCAAGCAAACAACCTTTTTCCAATCCCACCTCTCTAAAGGGCTGGAACAGAGATGTGGAGGAGTCAGTGGGAACTGTAGGGTTCAGAAAAAGGAGGCTGATACCACAAGGGAAAGATTGGTGTCTCTATTGCCAGGTCATATTGCAGCCTTCACACCCTGGAGTGAAGCCCCCAGGGACAGACCCCGTGATATCGCATGGAGCGGACAATGGAGGTGGTGAGAGGAGAGCATGAGCTGAGAGCAGCACTCCCAGGGATCCCAGCACCATCCTGACACTGGTGGGATTTGCACCAAGGTATCGACAGGAGGGACCTGGGAGTATGGCTAAGACCAGCAGAGCGAGAAACAGCTCAGGGACTCGGTGAGGAAGAAGGAGGCCTCGCTGTGTCACTGGGAGGGGATGAAGCTGCAGATGATACAGGAGGTGTCCTGCAGAGCAAGATGTGTTCTCTGTGCAAGAAAATAACCTTTGGAAAGAGGCTGACACCAAAAACCCCTGCCCACAAACATGCACAAGAGATGACCTGGGGGCTGAAAGCATCAGCAAAGAGTGAGGTGTTGGGATTAACCCACAACAGCTCCCCCATCCCTGCCACCCGTGTGTGCAGACACACTCCTGGGCTACGCAGGGAGCCAGTGCTGCCTTTGAGCAGTGATTTCTGATGCTCTTAATTATGCCTCCTGTCGGTGCCAGCTCCAGATGAGCTGGCACCCTTGAGAGATCAGGGAAAAGCAGAATAAAGCACTGTCATAAATCTGCAGCGCCTGGGGACACGGTGCAGCACAACACAGGGCTCAGCTGTCCTTGCTTTCTCCCAGGGGATCCCCATGGCTGATGCCCAAAACTGGACCCCATGGAGGCGAACGCCAGCTCAGGGGTGCACCAGCTGCAAAAGAGCTGTGGGGAAACCTGCAGGGGTTTTTTTTCAGCAGAAGAAAGGCAGATTTGTGTACTTGCTGGCCAAAAAAAAACCTCACAAAAAAGCCAGCAGCACAATGGTGTGTGGATGGAGAAAGGAAGGAGGGTGAGGGAGTGCCTACAAAATAAATGCAGTGATAAACCTCCAAGAGGGAGGGCGTTTGGAGGTGAAGGAGGTACATTGCGTGAGACCTTGAGGCACCAAATTACTTTGTATGGGGAGAAGGAGACTACTTCTACCCAGCATAGGTCTTTCTGCCTGCAGAGATCTTGTTGCAGCGACCCAGCAATGACTGCAGAGGCAAATACATTTTAGGAAGTGAGAGGATACAGTGAGACAAAAATGGCACAACTTGCTACCCTCATAGGCCCTTCTTTGGGTGTCTCTTGTATTGCATCCAGGACATATATCAATTCCAGGGGATGGCTTTTTATTCTGTGATCCTTCTCTTGCACAAGAAGATCTCTGAGCCCAAACTGAGACAGGAGCTGCTCTGTGGAAAAGCAGCTTATGGTTGAGCAATGGAGAAGGATGAAAATGTACCCATCCTCTGACAGCCAGAAGAGGCAATGGGGAAGCTCCAGCGAGGATGCAGATGCTGTGAATCAGGTTGTTGGACAAGGCTTGGAAGCCCTGCAGAGCCAGGGGCAGGATTGGGGCTGGCTGTCAGCAAGGCCAAGCTGCAATGCAACCTCAAGTCAATGATATCTTAACACTGCTCTGAGACACGGGCTGCAGCCCTTGCAAAGTGTCTCCAAATCAACACCAGCTGAATAGAAAAAAAAATTCCCAAAACAACAACAAAATCCCCACTCCAGGACATGGACTTTGCAGCATCAACACTTGCAAAGAAACAGCTCTGTGATCACAAGTGCCTCATTATTAACAGCACCAGGGACTGCCTGAGCTCTCACACACTGCAACAGCATTTAGCAAGTATGAGAAATCCTACAAACACCTCTGGAAAGGCATCATCATGAGGGTGCAGTGGGGTGTCTTTGTATACAAGAAGCCGTTTGAGATCCTAATGATTCAGCAAGGTCATCACACTTGGATATAATATTCCAGGAAATGTATCTGCACACCTCAAAGCTCAATGTTCAGATGTTCTATGTCCCTTGCTGGACTTTCATTTCTGGCCAGCTATGCATATCAGGGCAGTTTTGGGTTTTTTGTGGTGCATCAGTCACTTAGCAGCAATAGAAGAAGCCAGTGAGGTTTCTATCTGTATAGACATAGCCTCCTGGCAGAAAACAACTTCATCCCATCTGTGCCTGCTCCGGGCCATGCAGCAAAGCATGAAACATCACTGTCAGACACTCAGCTAGCATCACGGTGTGTCTACATGGGCAGTGCGTGAGCAAACAGTGGATAAAATAGATGAGAAGGGATGCATAGTTCAATGAATGGGTAGAGACAGTGCAGGAATGGATGGACAGAGGTGGACGGGTGCAGACAGCGTATGGGAATAGAGATGCAGACACAAGGTGCACCGTGGTGGTTAGAGTGAGAATAAAGAATAAGAATAGGAGATTGGTGTAATAGTGGGTGGACAGGGCTGATCCTGCAGTCCTGTTGTTTCAACCCAGTGTAAGTCCCTTGTTTACAAATGGGAATTTGCCTCCTCCAAGCCTCACCCAGAGCTCACTCACCCAAGATGATTGCAGACCACCTCCTGAAGTGCCCAGGGTGGCTCTACCCACCTGCAGAAGGCTCTGGGCCGTAGCCTGGCACTCCTTGGCTGCTGCCAAGTCCCAGCATCACAAGCCCAGGCAGGCGAGGATGGAGCTGGGTGCTCAGTGGGAAAAGCAGGTGCCATGGAAAGCTCCAGGAGGAGAAGCAGGTCACTGGGGACCAGAGGCCATGAAGGGTGACTCTGGGATGCCCTCCCCAGCACTCCCTCTGAGAGGTGTTAAACCCCTGGAGCTTCTGGGCTAGAGGCCCCAGGCATCAAACATCTCAGCTGCAAAGTGGTGAATGGAGTACATCTCCTGTGAGCTCTCCAGCAAGAGCATCACCTACAGAGGCAGTCCTGCTTTTACACAGGCTCTCTTGGCCTCTCCCAAATACTCATCTTTGGGGGAAAAACCCCAAACCAACTAGATGTATGCTTCTCCTTGATCTGACCAGATGAAGGGATCTGGTAGCGGATGTGTTCTAGGCTGCAGAAACAAGATCACCCTGCTGCAGATATCGGGTACCAATGGCACCTGAGCCACACAGAGCTGCTGTGGCCAGGCTGGTGTCACTCTGTGGGCGACTCCAGCAGCTGCTCACATCTCAGAGCTCTTCAGCTCTCCAAGCACTACCAACACAGCAGTACTGCTAACACCAAGCCATAAGATCAGCTTAAGAATAGCACAGGGTTTGTAAGATTAATAGCAATGGACACGTGGACTAAGGAGCTGTTGCTGAAAAGGAGACACCCCAAAGCTTTGTCTCCAAGGGACGGAGATGGAGCAGAGGAGTACTAACTGTAGTAACTTTGTCATGAGATCTCCTGGCGCTCCAACAGCACCAGAGTTGCAACAACCTGGATTATATTACAAGGCTTGTAAGTTCTGTTGGCGACTTGCTGGCTTTTAAACACCAAATCCACATGATTCTGTGAAAACGGAGTGTCTCATTTTAAAGACAGCAAGTTTGGAAACAGCATCAGTGGTAGAAAATCCACAGTACTAAGGCAAAATTCCAGCATGGTCGGGTGCAAATCTCATGTTTTAAAGCCAGACACATTACTTTTAGGCATGGGCTTGGTATACATGAAGGTTGCTGGTGGAGTGGTGAACTAATCCATTGCAGAAATGCTGCTGTAGGGAACTGCCCCTTTACAGAGACTTCACCCACCCTTTCCTAACCAAATTAATTCCCCACTCCATAGCAATGCACAGTAAAACACTGAAACGCACACACACAATATTAAAAAAAGGAAATAAAATAAAGTGACAGCATCTTTAAAGAAAAAGGGTGAGAGAGCAAGTCACACAATCCCAGGTACACTGCAGCTTATGGAGGTTTCTTTACACAAGGAGAAGTTCCTGTGATGCGTCTCAGCTGCCAATGGGTTGCTAAGTAGTGAAGGACACTGCACAACCACATAGGAATCCAGACAAACAAAAATCCTTATTTTTAAACACAGAAATAAACAAGTCAAATGCCAGTGCGTTAAAGCAAAACACTACAACGACTGCACTTACCACCTGGTAAAGGGTTAAAGAGCAGAAAGAGAGGTTCCAGGAGCAGAAGGAAGAAAAAAAAAAAAGGAGGAGAAGGAGAAGAAGAAATTAATATTATACATGCAGAAAAAATAAAGAGAAGATTTTTCAAAGAAAAGCCCAGGCATTTCTAGACCTGGCCAAAAGAAAGCTATATTTTCTTTGCCTAGATAGCATGAGATCATTTCTTCTTACTAAACCTCCTAGCCAGCTCGTCAATGAAAACCAGAAACAGTAAAGTTTAGGAGGTTTAGGGGTTGTTTAGTCTCCTCAAGAATTTCTATCTTTCCAGAGACGTATTTTGAATTTCTTTTAATTAACAAAAAAACAAAACCCACCAGACAAAATAAGATTATCTTGGAGTGAAGCTGCATAGTTTGCCTTCTGCCACAGAGCTGCTTTTTGCTGTCGCAGGAAATGCTTTGATGAGAAATATTTCCTCAGCTCCAACCGTTTTGGCTGAAGGATGAATGCTGAGACCTTCCCAGAAGCCAACCCCATTGTGTGCAAACACTTTGCCCAGTCGTGTTACTGGTAGCCATGTGGGTGGAAGTGGACCCAGTACCCAGAGGATGGGGGCCCAAAGGATGGGGCCATGGCTGCTGTAGTAGCTTGGTGCAGGTCATTAATTACCACTGACCTGTAATTACCACTGACTGACCAGTACATCAGGCCCTTCACCGTCTGCTGTGTTCAAACCTTGCCACTGTCATGAAGGCAGGGTTGTAACGATGGGGAGGGTCTCCGAGGTGGACTGCAAGGATGGCACTGGTGAAGCTGCACCATCATAGGTAAACAGCATTCATATTGTGTCTTCTTCCCACCCTCCCAAAGAAAACAGCTCCTCTCAAAGGTGGTTATAAACCAGCATGCAAAAAAAGAGCTAGGTTATGGCCTGCTGTCCCCTCATTAACAGGCTAATGAAGAGAAAATCAGGGCAAGTCTCTACTGGTGCACAACAAATCGTTACCAGCAGGAGGCAGAAGAAGACACCCTTTTGTTATAGCCATCTTTGCCCAGAAGTCTCTTTGATATGAATCTTTCCAGTGGCTGTCACATCATGGGGAAAAGGAACAGCTGGGACTTACTTTGTGTTTTGGGAAGGAAAGCTCAAATCTTTATGAAACCACTGACTCCCTTGCAGCAGGTTCTGGGATTTGCCAGCCCCACAGAGACCGGTGGTGAAATCCTCTCCACTAGAGCTCCTGGGACAGGGCTGACACATGCAACAGGTCCTGGGAAGAAAGCTGTATTGCCTGTGTCTGTATGAGATAACTGATGTCAGGAGATATGCCTCTGGCTTGACTATGGAGTGACAGTAAGAGCACTGTCCCCAGGTCAGGGCCTGGCACCCAAAATTCTCCCTGGAGCTGGTCAGAGCACTCTCTGCCAACCTATCTCAGTTTTCCAGCAATACATCCTGCATAAGGAGCTAGGCCTCTACATTGGGAAGGCAAAAATGAAGGGTACATCTCCAAGGACTACTTACATGGCCATGAAGGTCTGTGTTTAGCAGCATCAGGGCACAGGTGAGCGTATGGATCCCATCTGAAACACACAAACAGACAGATGGCTATGACTACTCCCCTTCCCATATGATTTCGGTCTTGGCAGCCCATCCATTGCCAAACACAGGCTAGTTACTGTGTCTGGGGACCTTAAGGAATACCTGCTTCTTTCAGCTGCATAAGATAGTTTAAAAAATAATCTCTTTTCCTTCAAACTGTACCTTTTTCTGAAACAATCACCAGGTAACTGGCTTTAATTGTCAATGTCTTTCTAAAGGACAGACTTTCCACTGAGTCTTCCTCCTTCTGTTGCAGAACAGGACAGAGACACTGGCAAACAGAGGTTGTTTTCCCCCAGTTGATTGGGTTTGTTCTGAGGTCTTTTGCCATTGCTCCCAGGCAGTTTGTAAACTCTTGAGTGCCCTGTCCCCATCTCCACGAGCCACTAAAAAAGGCACCATTTGTGTGGAATAGTGACAAACCCTGAGCACCCCACACTCAAGGCCAAGCTCTAAACACTGCAGCCAAACACACATGAGGCCCAGGATGAAAGCACATGAATTTCTTCCTCTTCTGGAAGAGTCATGGTCTCCAAGGAATGAAGGGTTTCTCATGAGAACATCACGTATTTCTGTACAAGGGCTGACATCCTGGGGACTTGGTGTGATGGCCATCCCTCTTCAAGAGTAAATCACTTCCAAAGGACACTTGCTTCACTTCCACAAGCAGCAGCTTTGGGCTTAGGACAAGGTGTCTCCCTACTGTGTATTTTGGAGTCTCTATAGGAAGTTCTGTGCTGACAGCCTCATCTGACTTTACTGTATCCCTCGGTCAGATAAATCATGTCCTACATGGCCCCAAGGTGGAGCTGGTGTCTCAAAACCCGCTCTTCTCTCGCTGTTGCTTGCCTCGGTTGCATTTACTTTTTCCTCTCAGCAAACAGTGTAAAAACGTAACCTTAGAGCTTTTCCACATCTGGGTTTCATTGGCGCAGGACAGCACTAATAATATGTCCAAAACACCAGTCCAGGATAAAAACCAGCCACCCCACTCAGTGGTCAGCACATCAGAGCTTCTGCCACCCTCATTTAAGCATCCCATCCAGGGGCTGGATGCACCCTCCAGGGGTGGAGGAGGCACTGCCAAGGCACCAGCTGAGAGGCCAGCAGCCCAATTCCCACCCATGGGGACATTTCCAGATACCTATAAGCAGATGGGTAGAGGAATTTGTGTGAGTGCAAATGTGGGCATGCTCATGTCTGGATGTGTATATGCACATGTGCCAGGAGCAACTGCTGCCGTTTAAAAATGCCAGAAGAAACGATATCTACTTTTAAAAAAAGTAATGGGGAGGGGTGGAAAGGAGCTAACAAAATCTGCAAATCCAACAAGCCTAGAATTTGACTAAATTGTGCTTTGTCCTGCTGCACTTGTACATGCAAGGAACACAACTCCAGTGCATGGCAAGCCCACAGCATTGCTCAGTCTGCGTGGAAATGTCTTCTTCCATTCAATGGACAAGGTCTTGGGCTGAGCTAGCACCAGACACTCATTTGCCCACTGCCAGCAACCACTTTGCAAGCCCCAACTGCAGTAATTTGCAACTCTTGAGAACCACTCACTACCTCCCCTGGTCCTGAGGGACCCATCTGTGGGGGTTTGCACAGCACCCAGTGTCCCCAGTCCATCCCAGAGCAGGGATAATGAGCAGAGCAGGATGCCAGGGAAAGGGATATTTGCCTGCCCAGTGTCTGCTATTCAGGCCCAGCTATGGGTGGCTGGTTTTACACTCTTGCTCTGCCACACACATGCACTGTGAGCCAAGGAAAGCAAGCAGATACCTTCGGATGTGCTCTCCTCTGGGTTGCACTGGCAGTATCGCCTGGAGAAATGAATTAGTACCCGCTCCCGCTCCTGTGTCTCTCCCATCAGTGGGAAGGCTTTCAAGAACGTCCTGCAAAGAGAAAGGGATACTTAAAAGGTGTCAGGGATCGGTCTGCTGGGCTGCATCCATGCTAAGGAGGGAGATGGAGCGAGGGTCCTCAGAGCAGCTAGGAAGGCCTCTGTCCTCCCCCCAGCCTGCGCACCCCCGGGCCCCTGCGGGTGCAATGCAAAGGATGTCTATGGAGCCAGCTCCGAGCTGCATAGGGAAACATGCTGTCAGCTGCGATCTGACCCACCTCCAGCTTGATGGCACCAGGATGGGTTGTCTGTCCCAAGGGAAGAAGCTGCTCCCACTTGCTCTGATTTTGTACGGGATGGGATTCCTGGGAAAGCTGCTCTCCACCATGGGGAAGCAGGCTGTGGGCCCTCCCGTCGAAGCCCACTTTTGGTGGCAGTACCTTGTGCCAAACGTGACACCAAAGCAAAGATTAAATGACAACCTGGAGCTCCCCCCAGTCCCTCTCCTATCGCACGGGCAGCCCCCACGGCCTTGGGGAGCCTGTAGGAGAAACCCACTGCACTGCTCCGCTCAGTCCAGCCCAGGCCCTACACGGGATCGCAGGGATCAGCTCACCTGAGTGCTTTGTCAAGGGTCAGGCCCGTGAAGTCAAAGAAGCTGAGATACTCCTCTGCTACCAACTTGCTAAATTCGTTACTGTAATTAAAGAGAGTAGTCAGCCTGTTCATCAGGGAAGAAGGCACCATCTACAACAGGAACAGCAGACTGCTGCCTCCTGGCCAGCACAAACTCCCAGCGAGACACTGCAGACATGATCCCAGACCCAGGGGGACTCTATCCCAGCTTGAAATGCTGTTGTAAGGACATCCTGTGCTCGTCAGGCACCTTCTCTCTTTCTTAGTCCTCCCTCATTGCTGGACATGTCCCCTTCTACTGCAACATTCCTGCTCTCCATCCTTTACTTCTGACCCTGCTCGTCCCTGAATGCTCCTCCAAAAACCCTGCCATGTTTTTGAAGGATGCTTGGCGAGCTGTTGCCTTTAAAACCACAGTGAGTGCTGCTAAGTTCCTCTGTCTGCACAACTCAGGTAGAAGTGCAAGAACAATCAATGAATGCTGGCGGGAAATAGGAGATGATCTCAACATGCTCAGCCTTTGCCATATACAATTCCTTTTCCTCCCCACAAAATGAAAAGCATTATTGTTAAGTGTTGCACATCCAGTTTCACCTGGGACATGTTACAGACAACTCATTGCTTTCCTACAGCATCGTTTCATCTTCTGCTGGGAGGTGGATGCTGTAAAGCATCTGGCAGGGATGTTGCTCAGGAGCGTGACACTATGGGATCAGGCAAAGCAGCACAACAGCTCCAGGCTTAGCTTTGGGAGGCAGGACATAAGCATTGGTGCTGGAGTGTGCACAGAAGACTGTTTCAAAGCTGCATGATGCCACAAGGCCTCACAATCATGACCAACCTTATCGTTTGGGATTGTTTGCTCTGAGACAGAGCATGTCCTCACAGCCCTATGGCCCTGGGTTAGTGTGTTTGAAGCAGTGCCACAAGGACTGGTGTGCAGGTTCCTGACAGCTTCCCAGGGAGAGTTTTCCATTGGTCACCATGGAGCTCCTACATGGAGCTGGCCTGAAAGCATCACTTAAACTTACCCCTCTCCCACCACTGTAGGTTGGTCTTACATTGTCTTAAGTGAGCAAGACCAACTTAAAACACATCTATCTTCACCCTTCCTTTCCTGCTCTGCAAATTCATGTGCTTGATCCAAGAGCCTGCAACTCCATCCTCGTCTTGTGCTGGGAAATGATTCATATGTCAAAAGCACAGCTGACCAAAACAAAAGTTTTCATTTAAAGGCTGTGTTGATTCCCAAATGTGGGCCACCAAACAGCTTTCCAAGGTGTGAGGATTGCAGGATCTCAAAGGGACACACCCAGATGCACCCCCAGAGACCCATTGCTTGAAACTTCCCCCACTCCCTGAGCCAGCATGGAAAATTTGGAAGAGAGAAGGATGCTAGACCTGAGGCAGCAGCAACCAGTGATGTATCTGCTGCAAGAACCACAGGAAAAGAGAAGAACATGGATGCTGTTGGGTGACACAAAAAGCATCTCTAGGAGATCATCTGTGGGCTCCTTCTGTCCCAGGACTAAGCTGAGAGTCACAGATGATCCCTGGTACTGCAAGCTCAGGTATTTGCTAAGGGACAGTTGTGTGCTGCTGATCTGGACATGAGTGAGACATTTCAAGGACCAAAAAAAACCAACCCCAGCAATGCATATATCTGATCCAGGAGAAGGATGGGGATTGGTGTCCTCACACCCACTGGTATCCTAAAAATAATCTGTTACTGCTACACTCGTTGCTGTTACAGAGATTTTTAAGAGACAGAGTAACTCTCCCACTTTTGAACAAACACTTTCTATTTCCCTTCTGCCTTATCCAGGCAAATCTACCAGCTGAGGTGCTTAGACCTCCAGTGTGTACCTGGCTCTCCATCAGACCCTTCGTGATGCCTATACAGGCTGGATCAGGAGGCACTGCAGCAAGAACATTTTGGGGTGCAGACAAAAAACCTGAGGGCTGGAAGGAACCCCAGTGCAAATCCCAGTCTGGATCCCAAACCCTTCAATCTGGGGATTGCTTTAGGGGAAGTCTTGCTGGGCCCTTACCAAATGCAGGAAGCTCTTGGTTCTGGTGACAGTTAATGTCCAGAACACACACTTTCAACCAGAAGGATCTCCAACAGCCCCAACTCCATCCAGCAAACCATTGTGGCAGCAAATTTGTCCCTTCCTGCCTTCATCCTGCTCTCCCAGCACCACCAGTCCTTCCCCAGACCCTCCCCACCACAGCTATGTTTCTGCTGGCCATGCCTAATACTGCGATCTCAGTCAACCCCCCTGCAGGGCTGGCTGCAACCCAAAGCCCCCCACTTACTTTTTCCCAAGCTGGCGTGCCACATCGCAGCGCTTGAACCCTTCCAGGTTGTAGAGGCGCTTGGCCAACCTCTTGGCAGCTTCACTATCTGCTCTGCAGCCGTTGGCCAAGGTATCTGTGCTGCCCTGGTCAAGCTGCTCCGTGCTGCCCATGTCGGAGTCAGAGTCTGAGAGGGCGTCTTTCAAGCTGGCGTCGCTACACAGGAGCAAGAAACAATTCAAGGAGCAGCAATGTGACTTGAAACCCACAGAAAATGCCACATTTCGATTTCTTCTTTCAAAAAATTATTAAAAAACACCACCATGTTTGTGAAGTGGACGTTGGACAAACCCTATTTCACATCAGGTCAAATGAAATGGTACAGTTTAATTTCAAATTAATAGAAAAAAATTGAAGAGAAGGTGACTTCTCCCTGAGAAATGAGGACGTAGACATTCAAAGCAAGCAGCTCCAACTCTTTTGGTCATTTCTAAGCTTTCTCTCTTTTTCCGCACTGGTATGCAAAGGGATACCAAACTCTTTCAGAGCTGTGGACATTCAGGAAATCCTAGCGATAGACAGTATGTTTTTTATTCAGGTTATTTGCTGAGGATGAGACACTGCACTTGTACAAGTCATGCTGTGGGGACTGGCACCAGACCTGTCACTGAAGGGCTGCTCCTCTCCCAGCAGCAGCCTGGTGTTGTGACCAGCAGCTCCCACAGACAACACTCTGAACAGCCCCACTGCCGTCACATGGGGCTACATCCCTTTATTTTCTTCCCCAAGGCCACTTATGGCACCTATTGACACATTTTTGGGCAGTGTGACTTGAAGACTGGACATGCTGCTCATCACCCAGCTCCCTCATGCAGTGAAGTGCCCTGCAGCTGAGCTACTGCATCCCAGGGATGATGCTTTGAGTCCAAGCTGATCCCAAGGATGATAACGTTGCTGATCCCACTGCCTGCAGAAGAACATTTGGAGAGGCCTCTACAGGGGCACCCAGTCCTAAGTAAAACCTTGAGGTCTCCCTGCACTCCAGAGCTCATTTGGGAGTGTGCCTGACTGCCTCCAACCCAATGTCAGAACAACCAGGCAGTGGTCTTTACCCAGAGGAGCCCCAGCTTTGCCTTGGCTTTTCTTGGGCTCACAGGGTTCCTACACAACCCTGCACTTGGTCCCCTGCTGGAGACTGGCTGGTTTAATGCCATGAGACCTTGGTCCCCAGCTGCCATCCTAATTTACAGGTAGGAAAGTTATTCCTGTTGGTGTTTGGTGGCCATGAGAGGACACACAAGGGAAAAAAAGCTCCACTTCTATCACGTCCTCTGAGCCTCGTGCCTAGATTGGGACTCCATAAGATAAGGAGCTCTTCACCCAAAGAATTCCCACCCTGTCTTACCTGATGGAGTTAATGATCTTGGTGGCATCTTCCTCCGACCCCTCCACATGGAAGCCATTTGGGATACTCTTCAAGGACAACCTGCTCAGCACATTCTCTGACCTGCTGCTGGTAATTGAGTGCCTGAGAGGGCTGCCAAAATCCCCCTCCGCTGGCTTGGCCGCTGCCTGCTCTTGCTTATCAGCAGCCATCTGGTGAAGGGCTTCTCTCTGCTGGGCCACCAGTTTCTGCTCCAAGAGCTCTGGGCTTTCCTTGGCCCTTTGCTGGATCAATGGGGTGAGCGGGGCCTCAAAGCTGACACAGCTGTCTGTCTCGTCTGTGAGAGAGAGGACGTCCAAAGAGTCCAAGCTGCTGTAGTAGGTACCTTTCATGAGGTCAGACTCCACGATCTTCTCAAAGGTTGAGCTGAATCCATCCCTGATGTCTTTGAACTGAAAATGTTCCTTGTCATCCTCGCTGCAGCTCAGCTTGGCATCTCCAGAAGCAAACCTGGACCAAAAGGGGAAATGTAGAAAATGCTGTCAAGGTAAGAGCTTGCACTGCTCCACTTGGAGCTAGGAGGCAGGAGAAGAGGCAGAAACGGATGCTGTGATTATAGGCCCTTGGGACCGTTCTGTGGTATAACCTGCCTGGTTCACAACTTTATTACAAGCTTCTAGAGCTGAAGATGGCAGAGTTTTACGATGGGCAATCCCATGGGCCCGGCCAACCCTTAATTTGGTCATAACCCGGTAAAAAGCCAGACCTCTGAACTGGAGATGTTTGCATCTGACACCTGGTACTGGATCCACTGCCAGAATGGATTTAATCCGCAGGATATCTTTTCCCTTCAAGTGCTCCAATTATGGCTACTTCAAAAGCATGAAAATCCTTAAGATCAAGGCCATTTAATCTAGCTTTGGATGTCGGCAGCAAATGTCCTTGATCTCTTTCATAGCGAAGAAAATAAGAAGCTTGTAGACAGCAATTCATATGCTGTAATTTAAGCATTTTTCCTTAGATGAGGCACCCTAGAAGTGCAAGGCACCTCACAAATAGTTTTCTCTCCACCAAGAGGGATGTAAAAGGTGATGATGCTGGATGCCAGTGGCCTGGTGAGCTGTGGCAGGAACAGGATCCCAGTGCAGCAGGGAGCAGGACAGACCCACCTAAAGGGCAAAGCAAGGAGGGAGTTCCCACCCAGTTCATCAGAGCTGGCCATGCAGCAAACCAGATATAAGCAGAGATGTGGCAGACAGCAGCATCTCCACAGACTGCAGCACAAAGGCTCCTCAGCCTCAGGCATTTTATCAAATTATTTATCAAAATAATTTAAGAATTTATCAAAACTGTCTTTACAAATCCATCCATCCCTCCAGGGTGAACTGCAGTGGCTGGCCATGACTGTTTGCAGAAAAGATCTCCTGTGTCCACAAAGAAAGAGGAACTTCAAAAACTTCATCTCCTTGTGACAGAAAAGGCTTTACAGCCTTAATTGCACCCAGCAATGGGAACTACAGATCCACCTTGGCATCTGGATCCCATTGCCAAACTTCTTGCAACAGCCCCCATCCCCAGCGAACTTTCACATCCCTGCCCCTACAGAGGGTCTGTGTCCTCCCAAAAACACAGAAAAACCCTGCATCCATGCAGGAGGGCACAGCCTGGCCCATCCCTGTGAGGTTTTCCCATGTATTTCCAGCAGTGCTGTGCACTGCAGCTGTACCTGCAGGTGTTCTCCTGGCTATCAAGCCCATCAAGAGCCATCCAGCCCTGGACTTCCTAGATATGACTTAGTAGGTCCCATATTGCCGTAACCCCAACCCGGACAGCTCCACAGAGACATTTCCATTAACTGTTCATACCCCAGAGCTTGTATTTTCCAGCCCTTTATTTACAGCTTAAGTCCAAACTTGTACAGCAGGCAATTGAGAGAGGAAGTCTGCATCTCTGCAGGTGCTGCAGCAAAGGCTGCGTGGGACAGACCACAGAGACCAGGGCAGGAGCTGTGGTCCTGGATGGGTCAGTGGGCACCAAGGCAGGCCCATCACATCTCTCCTTGCATAGTCCCATAGAAAACAGAGGACAGTGAGACTTTCCATGGGTTACACCAGCCCAGAAGCACCATCTGCATCTAATTCAAAAGCTATGCTAAGGTGGGAGACAGTGAAAGACCTCACTTATCTGAATGAACCTGACCTAGCCTCCCCATATACTTATTACCCAGCAGGGAAGGCGATTGCTTTACTTAAATAAGGAGCCATATATTTATTTGCATTGTAATCAGAAGGTTTTGTAAGCACATTGAAGGAACACTGTATCTAATTGCCTGTGCTGCTTTCCCCAGTCATCTTGGAAATGCTGTTTTATTGCTTATGGCAAGGCATGCAGAGCAAGGCACTTGGTTATTGAACCGCACTGGATTTTTATGCACTGAGTTGTTTACATTTCACTTCTCACTGGTTAATTAGCTGCAATAAAGTAGGACCTCATTTGCTATGGTGATGGAGTGGGGTAGCCTGTCAGAGAAGGACTTTCTTGCCTGTGCACTGCAGGCTTTTGGCAAAGTTTTCTTGAAACTTTATTTAATGGAATTTGGATTGCTCGATGGCTGCATGTTGCCATGGGAGGAAATGGGTGGGCAAAGGCAGCAGTGTCAGACCTGTGTCTACAAGCGAGAAGTGGGGATCCCTCAAGTTATTAACAAATTTGACCTTTCTGACCCATGTCATGGGGCTGAAAGCAGAGAACATCATTCACTGGTGAAGCTCTTGGTTTGATTGCAGAGCTGCAAACTCCCCGAGATCAGCAGGACCAGTGTTGGGGACTTCCGAGAAGATGAAAGATCTTGAAGAAACATAGCCCCAATGACAGAAAAATGAGGCTTTGACGAATGGTATATTGGCATGTCAATGGATGCCACGGGATAAACTAGAAAGGGGTAAAAGGGATTCAGTTAATGCCAACTGCTGCACAAGCACTAAAGCTTTGGCTCTATTTCCTTGACTTTTTAAACAACCATTTCCTGCACTAACCTACCTTTAGCAGGGCAATCATAGTCTCTTCCTCTAGATCCACCACGGATGGGTGGATCCCATGGAGTCAATGGCCTTGCATGGCTTTTCCCCCTT